GCCATGAGAGAGGATGATGTCACCTGTACGGGAAAGAGGCCAGGCTGTGACCAAGACTGGCCACTAGGTGGTAGCCAAGTGCTGGAAAGCTTGGACAGCCCTGCTTTGGAGAAGCCTTCCTATTTCAGGGTGGCTTTTTTACTGTGATGCTATAAAGGGCTGAAAAGTCCTTCCCAGTTTCAAATTTGTCTGAAATTTCTCCCTAGTGTCACAGACATGAAATTCTCACCATTTAAGGGATGGGGGAGGGGAGAGAGAGAGAGAGAGAGAGAGAGAGAGAGAGAGAGAGAAAGAAAGAAAGAAAGAAAGAAAGAAAGAAAGAAAAAGAAAGAAAGGAAAAGAAAAGAAAGAGAAGAAAGAAAGGCTTAGAACTTTATACTGAAAGAGCTCAGGCAGAGTCTTCTGCTCCTTAGCATCCCAGCCAGGTAAAGACTCTGGCTGAAGCTACAAGCAGCAAGTAGCTCCATAATCAGGTGCCTAGAGAAGGCTCCCAGACCTCACAAGTGACCACAAGACAGGAAAAGCAGCACTTACTCTCTATGCAAGAGCAGCAGGGAGTACTCTCCAGCAGGCACCATCCACCTGGTGGAGACTGCACGCCACTGATGATCATTGAAAAGCAGATCTGGTGTCATCACCAGACGACATCAGTGAGCTGCCCATTCATGAACATGCTCTGGGCACTATGTGTGTCGACTGATGGAGTGTGTACTTGTGCATCCCAAACTGATGGAGGGCATGTTTTATCTCTACTTTTTTTTTTAACCATAATTCTTCATTAAATGCTTTTCTTTTGAATGATTTGTCCTCTCTGGCTGAACAGAAAAGGTCCAATATCCATGGAGGCTCATGAGTCCCAAGCGGTTTGGGGTGGATGGGTTTTGGGTTTTGGATTCACACAGTACCTAGAATTTGGAGTTTCCTCAAGGAAAATTGACTGAAAGTTAGGGTGACCTCCCAGTTGTTCCATTTACTTGTATCTGTTGTATTTCCCTGTGGAATGCTAGGTGGGGCAGGGATTGTTTTGTTTTCTCTCTTTGTAACCTCAGTTACCAGAGTTTTCAGCCAAGCCTAGGGGCAATTTGTAGGAGACTCTCCTAAACTTCAGAGAAAATGCTGACACAGGACTACATTTCTGCCTGGAGTGTGGGATAGGTGATATAGCTATATAAGACAGACATTCTTCCTCGTTCTTTGAGAGAAGCCATGTAAGGTTCCCTGCATTGTCTTTAGGACCAGCTCCATATATGTGGATAGACAAGCAAGCAGGCAGGCAGGTTGTGGAAGCTTGCACACATGGAAGGGTATGGGCAGCTAGGTGGCGCCGTAGTGCATAGAGCACTGGGCCTGGAGTCGAGAAGATTCATCTTCAAGAGTTCAAATCTGACCTCACACGCTTACATGCTGTGTGACCCTAGGTGAGTCACTTCACCCGTTTGTCTCAGTTTCCTCATCTGTAAAATGAGCCAGAGAAGGAAATAGCAGACCACTCCAGTATCTCTACCAAGAAAACCCCAAATGGGTCATGAAGAGTCAGACACAGTTGAAATGACTCAACAACAGCCCTACATGTAAGGGAAGCCGATTCTTCAATGTGATGTATCAGATCCCTGATTCATATCTTGCCTCCCCAGAATCTAAGGGAAATTGCCCCTAGGATAAGATCTCATCTTTGTCCCCATCTTACAAGCACATTCACTCTTGTGTATTTTCTAGTATAATCTATATAACTTCTCCAATTTTTGCTTATTGGAATAAATGAGTTTATTCAAGTGATTTTCCAAAATCTCAGGTCTGATCATGTCACACCTGTGCTCAACAAACTCCAGTGGCTCCCTATGGCTTCCAGGAGCAAATACAAAATGCTCTGTTTGGCATTCAAAGCCCTTCCTAACCCAGCCCCCTCTTACCTTCCCAGTCTTCTTACCCCTTCCTCCCAAAATGTACTCTTCCATCCAGGGACACCGGCCTCCTGGCTGTTCCACCAACAAGACCCTCCATCTCTCAGCTCTGGCTCCCCCCATACCTGGAAAATTCTCCCTCCTCCACTCCAACTCCTGACCTCTCTGACTTCTTTTAAGTCCCAACTAAAATCCCACCTCCTACAGAAAGTTGACTCCTCTTAATTCCAGTTCCTTTCCCCTATCAGTTATTTTTTATTTATCCTGGATATAACTTACTATGTATATATTTGTTTCCATGTAGTCTCCCCTGTTAGATTGTAAGCTCCATGAGGACAGGGCCTTCCTTTAGCTTCTTTTTATATCCCCAGCCCTTTACACAATGCCTGGCACATAGTAGGTGCTTAATAAGTGTTTATTGAGTTGGACTATTCATTATTTTCAAGGGTCTTTTGTGTCACTAGCATTTTATGGAAAAGAAGAGTTAAGTCTCCAGATGCAAGCTTGGGGTCAATTTCTGCTTTAACAGCAATGAAGGAAGTGACTTGTTTTGAGGCCATTGTATCTTAGATGAGCAAAATTTAGGGGGACAGATAGATGTAATTCTAGTCCAGTGTGCCCTCAGAGGCTGTCCTAAAGGCGTCCAGCCTGGTGGTGGTCAGGGAGCTCGCCTTCAGCTTCTTTCTCAGCTCTCATGGCAATTTTCCTCATTTCCTCAGGGTAGTCCAGACCTCAGATTGTATCTATCAATGCCTCCCCTGAGCCACATTTATTTTGTTTTTTTTGTTTGTTTGTTTGTTTGCTTTATGGTGAGGCGATCGGGGTTAAATGACTCACCCAGGGTCACACAGCTGGTAAGTGTTAAGTGTCTGAGGCTGGATTTGAACTCAGGTCCTCCTGACTCCAAGGCCAGAGCTCTATTCACTGTGCCACCTAGATGCCCCTCCTGAGCCACATTTAGACTGCCCGTGTAGACATATGTGTCTGTCTTACACAGGCTCAAACACGCTTTACCCCTGGAGTGTCGCACAGTGCCTTATATATAGTAGGCACTACATAAAGGTGTTGAATTGAATTGATTTCCATACCTCTTCCCTTCTCCCACCTCTCCCCCCCTTCCCTTTCTCTTTTCTGTACTTCTTTTCACTGTCCCTTTCCCTTCTTCACATTCTTCCTTCTTTCTCCACCAACATCTAAATGAGATATTTGTAAAACATTAGCAAGCCTTAAAACACTATACAAATAATGACTGTTATTACTATCTACCTTTGTCTGTCCCTCCCCATTCATCATCCCCGCCCCTTCCTCTCTCCCTCCCCCTGTCCCTTCCCTTTCTTTTGTCTCTCCCCTCAGCCTCCTTTGTTCCTCCTTCCCATCCCTCTTTCCCTCCTTCCCCTTTCCTTGAGACCGCCTGTTCCCAATGAACTATCCCCTATCCCAGCCCAACCTGGGCTTAACAGAGAGGCTGATGGGTAGGGAGGTGGTCATTTGATGTATGTATTCTGGGACAATCAAGGTAGAAAGGTGACACAGAGGCCAATCGGGCCTCAGTGAGGCTGAAGGACAGAATGGTTTTATTGGGGGTGAGGGTGGGGCGTGGGGAGGGTGATGTGGGAGAATGTAGCCAGAAATGCTGGTTGACTCTGAAGAGATTGGGGTGAGAAAAAAGAGGAGGGTGGGATTCAGAGATGGCCGGGGATCCTATCCAACAGTGTCTCCTCTCCCATGCTCTGCCTGCGTTTGCTCAGCAGCATCCTCAGCAAGGTGTCCAGGGAGTGACGGGGCATCTGGCCAAGGGAGAGACAAGCCGTCACGTGAGTGCACAGGGGCAGGCACTGCTGGTCCCTAAGTCAGTCTCCCCACCGACGCAAGCTGTTTGTGGGGCTTGGCAGATTCCTTCTCTTCAAGACGCCTAGCAGATGACAGGTCTTCACTCTTGTTTTGGCGGTTCTTGGAGAGCAAAGGGATGACATAAACTCCATCAGGAAGGCAGTGCTGCTACTGCAGACCACTCCCCCCCAGACCCTCCCCTCCCCCTTCCAATCTTCCCACCCATGCCCCCTACTGTGTGGTCATTCAAGAAGGAGATGGGGCTGCTTCTCATGCCATCCATGCTCAGAAACCTCTTGGCTGGCTGACCAGAGAACTGTGGAGTTTGGATCAAAAACAGCCCACAACTGTTCTTTGCCATCTTAACCATTGGCCCATCTGGTCTTTGCGGGCCTGCCACCAGACCTGGGGAGGCCAGTATCCCTTACTGTCCCCTCCCATTATGGTTCTACATCACCAATCCGTGGGCTGGAACTTGAGTGAAGGTGTCTGTCTTCTCCCAAAGAGTTCAAGGTGATGCTTTCCGTTCAGGGTCCGGCTCAGGCCTGCTGGTTATATGGCTTACTTCTTAGAGGCTTCTGCCGTTGAGGAATTGTTCTGCCTCATCCCCTTTCTAGGTTTAACCCTCTCCAAGGGGAGGATGGAAGAGCAGATGCTGGCCTTTCTCCTAGGGCCATTCTGACTGCTCAGGGAAGCCCTAACCCCACCTGTCCTGGAAGGTTTGCATTTTCATCTGGCTGAAGGCAGGAGGCTGAGCCTGTTGACCTCTTCAGATCCTTCTTAGGCCCTGTGCTGGACACACGAGAGAGGCAGCAAACCTGGCCTTACGAGACTAAGAGAGAGGGAGCAGAAGAGCTAGGCTTCACGTGGCTGGAGGACTGAGGCTGTCGTGTGAAGAAATGGTAAGTGCTGGCATGAGGGTCAAGAAAAAATCAGACATCTGGTCTGAACCCCAAGCTCTCTTCTTACAACCCTGTTCCTACATATTCTTGACTCGCCTCAACTCAAAGCTCCAGGAGACCTGCTCCCCACCCTCTGCCTTTGCCTATCCCACTCCCCACTATTTCCTTCTTTCCTTTCTGTCTCTTTCTCCCCATTGCCCCTTCCTTTTTTTCTTTCCTTCCCCTCCCCATTAATCCATTCTTTCTCTTTTTTCCTCTTTCCCTCCCCACTGCCTTTTCCCATTCTTTCTGTTTTCCTCCTCTCCCCTCCCCTCCCCTTGTCCATATCTCTCCCCACTGCCCCTTTCCCTTCTTTCTGTTCCCCTATGTCCCTCATTTCCCCCTAACCCTCTTTCCTCCTTCTTCCTCCCTCCTCCTTTCCCCATGAAGCATATGTGAGCCACAGACAGGGCACCCAGTCTCATACTCAGGAGGTCTCAGTTTCCATGGCTTCTTCCAGGTTGCTTAGTGGGGACCTCCCAGGGGAGGTCCAAGAGGGATGTCAGTGAAGACCTCAGGGTTACCTTGACAATTTCTCTTTCCAAATCCTGGACTGCTGTCCATTCCAACCACAGTAGCCTAAAGTTCTCTACCTCATTGTTGGGGTCAGGAGCAGCGTGGGGCTATGACAATAGGGTCAGGAGAAAACACCAAGTGCTGGTTGACCATGTGTCTCCCAAGGAGTGCAGAGGCACATGTGTCCATGTGTTTACGCTTGGGGCCAAAGTGCCAGGGGCCCCAAGAGGGATGTCAATATGAGTGAGTTGGGATGCATATCTGGAGTTTCAAGGCACTGAGAGTGGGTCCTAGTGAATGTGCCTGGCTATTAGGGAAAGCAGCAACATGTACGCACCTGGGAGAGAGTCTGTATGGTAATATATGTGTCTAAGTGAATACCTGTGCCTATATTGGGTGAGTGCCAGCATAGTATGTGGTCAGGAACCAATGTATAAATGGGTGTGCGTGTCAGTGAGAATGAGTGCCTACTGCTGTATTGGGTGTGGAGGAGGCACTTTTTAGTGTTTACTGATTAAAAGACTTATTGGTAAGCAGTGTCTGTGCATGTGGGAAGCATTGAGTGTGTCTGCATGTGGGGCAGAGTGTTACCAAGCAGGTGATATGATGAGCCCATGTTGGACATATCTAAGAATTAAAAGACCTCTCACTGGAAGAGACCTTAGGAACCATCTTGTCCAACCCCTTCCTTCCACAGATGAGGAATTGATCACAGGATCATAGATTTAGAGATCAAAGGGACCGTGGAAGTCATCAAGTCCACCTTTCCCATTTTACAGATGAGAAAACTGTGGCCCAGAGAAGTTCATGGATTTCTCCAAGGGCACACAGTAGTAAGCAGCAGGGGTGAGATTTAAACTCATGTTCTCTCACTACAAACCCACTGCTTTCCAATGTGTCATTGTGTTAGCAGAATAAGAAGGGAAGAGAGAAGATCAATGTATGGGTGAGAATGTCACTGGTTAGATGGGTCCATGTGTAGATTGATGGGTACATCAGGGTGTGGGTGAGCATGGGCTGGGGCAAGGGCACTGAGGAACAGGGTTCAGAGGAAAGGGGAAGACCAAAGGAGTGTTTGGACAAGACCACGAGAAAGCATAGGTGCTAAGAAGCCTGATGGTACATGTGCCTAGACTGTGTGAGCTAGGGCCAGAGATCAGTGGGATGGTGACTGATATCCAGAGCAGCTAAGGCAGGATCAGTACCAGTAGGTACTGTCCTTGAGAGCCCCTGGAAGCAGCCAAGGATCCAGAGGCCCAAGGACAGAGGATGTCAAGGGACCATGAGTGGGGACCAAGAGATGGCTAGAAAAATGGCAGCTGAGTTCCTACCCAATCAAGGGAACCTATATAAGATTTACAGGCTCAGGAAGGAGTCAGACCTGTTCCATTTGTCTTTGAACTTGTCCTGTGGCCTTTGAGCCCCAAGGGTCTGTGTCATGGAGAGCCCTCCCAGGGGCCTGGCACAACGGCGCCCTGGGATGGCCCTGTGCCTAAGTTTCTTCTCAGACCTCTCTTGCTGGGCTCACTTTACCCTGACACGCTCTGCCTCTACTCACACACCCAGGACCAGTGTGCCAGGAAGGCCCCAAGATTGAGGATCAGGCCCTCCCCAGGCCTAGCTTTCTCCCTGGGGCTTTGGGGAGGGAGCATAGCTTAGGTAGGTGGAGGTGGCATCTTAGGGATGTGTCTACACTCAATCTCCACCGGCAGAGGGTCATAGATGCTGCAGGATGGAGTGTTTCCCTTGCAGTAAATATTAAGGTAACTGCGGTACTCCTCGTGGTAGGTCTGGTTGTTGAGACACAAGACAACATTCTTGTCACATTCACACGTCTGCTTGTCACACTCTGTCTCATTCTTCTCACCTGTAGGGGGAAAGGCAATGGACTTGGGGCAGGCACCTGGGGGGTGCATAGGGAGCCTGAGAATCATAGATGGTCAGAGCTGGGAGGGGCCTTAGAACCCAGAATGTCAGAGCTGGGGGGGCCCTTAGAACACAGAATGTCAGAGACTGGAGGTATTATAAAGGTTATCTAGACAGATCTTTCATCTTACATGAGAGGAAACTGAGGCCCAGGGAAAGAGTTTCCTCAACCAGGAAATGACAGAGCAAGTGCTTGAACCCAGGACTTATTTGTATCTCCCCCCCACCTCTTCCACCGCTACTTGAGAGCAGTAACTGTGCTCTTTTTGTCTTCGCACCTTCAGTGCCTTACAAAGTTCAAGCTCATAATAGGCATTTGATAGCCAGTTATGTAGAGAATCTCTCCATTAATACAGATCAGCAACTCGCTATAATTTATAGTTTCAGGAAGTTACCCAGGGCATTGAGAGGTGAAGTGAGTTGCCCAAGGTGACACAGCCATGAGAACCTGACTCTTCCTAACTCCCAGGCTAGCCTTCTCTTCACTAGTCATGATGCCTCTCCTTCACCATAATATGCCCCTAATAATTCTTTGCCTTTGTTGAATTGACTTGTAGACTGATCTCTAGGGGATTTGAGGGCCGAGTATAGGACAGGGGAGGGGTTAGGTGAATAAAATGGATAGCGTAATGAACTTGGAGTTAGGAAGACCTGGTTTCGAATCCTACCTCAGACCTTTAATAGTTGTGTGATCCTGGACGAGTCTCTTAACCTTTGTCTGCTTTGCTTTCCTCATTTGTAAAATGGGAATAATAACAGTATCTGCCTCTCCGGGTTGTTATGAGGAATAAATGAAATCACATTTGTATAGTGCTTTGCAGACTTTGAAAGGCTCTATAAATGTTGGCGATCATCATCATCACCGTCATCATTATTACTCTGCCTTGTCGGAGCCTGGTAAGTCTCAGTTAGCCAACTCCCAGCCAGACTGATCAGGCCAACAGCAGGTAGCTGCCCCAAGCCCACCCTCCAGAGGAAGCCATACTCACTGCAGGTGATGGTCTGAGTTTCGTTGTCAATGGAGAATTCGTATCGATCAAGAAAGGGGTGGCACCCCTGGTCAAACAGCTTCTGGTAGCAGCAGTCATGGGCATGGCAGCACCTGGGGTTGGGAGGCAAGCAGGAGCACAAAGGAACAAAGGGACTGCAGTCAGACCCCTTCAGTTCCTACCTATCCTTTGCAGAATCTAAAGATCGTAGATGAAGAACTGGAAGGAATCTTAGAGGCATTAGAGACCATTAAGTCTACTTCTCCCATTTTACAGATGGGGAAACTGAGGCACAAAGGTTAAGTGACTTGACCAAGATAAAAACAGCAGAGCTGGGTCCTCTGATTATGGAACCAGTTCTCTTTCCGTGGCCCCACATGGGTTCCTGAGCACAAGTAGCTGGACCAAGAACATGGATGGTAATTCTTTGAATGGCATCATCCTAAGGGACTATTCTTTTCCTCAGGGCCCACCTGGAAGATCACCCTCATCCATTGAACCCTCCATGAACCTCCCCCACCCCAGTCCTCTCCCTTGGCCACATCAAGATGGTTGTTGTTGAGTCACTTTTCAGTTCTGTCCGACTCTTTGTGATCCCATTAGGGTCACATCTTGGCAAAGATACTGGAGTAGTTTGCCATTTCCTTCTCCAGCTTATTTTATAGATGAGGAAACAAACAAATAAGGTTAAGTGACTTGCTCAGGGTCACACAGCTAGTAAGCGTCTGCAGCTGGATTTGAACTCAGTTCTTCCTGGTGCCAGGTCCTGTGCTGTGTGCACTATGGTGCCTCCCAGCTGTCCTAGGGTGGCTTTAGCTTCATGGAATCTTAGCTACAGAGCTGGAAGAGGCCTTCACCATCTAGTTCGAGTTCCCCATATCATGAATGAGGAAACTGAAGCCCAAAGAAGGGCTGCGATGTTCAAAGTCAGTTAAGTAATGAAGCATCAGTAGAAGGCCACACAAGTACAGCGGAAGGAGCAGGGGCTCTGGAGTCAGAAGACCTGCATTCAAATCCTGCTTCTGAGCCTTCCTACCTGTGAGACCTTGGGCAAGTGATTTAGCCTCGGTTTTCTCCTCTGTGAAAAGACCAATGATGGATGATAGTTAGACATCATCTGACAGAGAGGTGGGGGCTTCCAGGAGCTGAATTCGAGGTACAAGTTCAGATGTGGCCAGTGTGTCAATTTGTCTGGTTTGGTAATGCCTTTTTTGTTATAAGGCAAAGGTTTTTGTTTTGTTTTGTTTTAATGGGGGGTGGGATTTGGGAGGAAGAGACTAGAAATGGGGATGTGGGGAGGGGAAAGGAAAAGAAAGAAAACAAGTGTTACTGTAAAACTTAAAAGAGAACAGAAGGGCACTTGATTGTATTCTTTAAAGAATGTCTCTGGATGTAACAGACTTTCCGTCTCACCCTCTTCTCCTGTTCTTTTGTGCAGATGGCAATACTTGAGCTTGGTGGCTTTTGTCATATTTGAAACAACAAAAAATTGAGATTAGAAGAAAAGGGATGGGTTGAGGGGCAGCTAGGTGATGCAGTGAATAGCGTACTGGCCTTGGAGTCAGGAGGACCTGAGTTCAAATGTGGCCTCAGACACCTAACAGTTACTAGCTGTGTGACTCTGGGCAAGTCACTTAACCCCAATTGCCTCACCAAAAAAAAAAAAAAAAAGAAAAGAAAGAAAAAGAAAAAGAAAAAAAAAGGAAGGGATTGGACTCCATGGTCTCAGAGGTCCGTTGGGGCTCTCCATCTGAGACCCTCTGAAGTAGGTGTGCTAAGGATTATTCTGCCCATTTCAAAGAAGAGCAACCTGAGGCCTGTAGAGGCCTTGTTCCTGGTTCACACAAATAAGTGACAGAGCTGAGATTTGAAGCCAAGTTCAAATCTACTGCTCCACTCTGCTTTCCTCTCGGTGGTACTTGGACATAAAATGAGGAAGTCCAGGGTTCAAATACTGTCTTTAGCACTCAGTATGGTACTTTAAGCAGAATTTTGTTTAGTCATTTTTCAGTCGTATCTGGCCCTTCATGACCCCTTTTGAGTTTTTCTTGGCCAAGATACTGGAGTGGTTTGCCGATTCTTTCTCCACCTCATTTTATATATGTGGAAACTGAGGCAAACGAGGTTAAGTGACTTACCCAGGATCACGAAGCTATTAAGTGTCTGAGGCCAGATTTGAACTCAGGAAGATGAGTCTCTCTGACTCTATCCACTGGGCCACCTAGCTGCCCTGTGCACAGAATAGGCCATTAATAAATGCTTGAATTAATCAATCAATCTCGGAGCTAGGTCCTGAATCCATATCTCCTCTCTCCTAGTTCAATGGCTTTTTCTCTAGCCACCTTGTCTCAAACTCCTTTAGCTTCTTCATTCTTTCCCCACCTCTTCCCATCCCCAGATCCTCATCTCTCTCCCTTAATATGTGACATATCCTGACATAAAACCAAGAGAGGGGGGACAGGGTTCAGGTAAGGACCATTTGCAATATCAACAGCATGACCAAGGAGCCCGAGTTGTATTCAGACAAGACAGTCACCATCTACCCTGTGTAGAACCCTGGAAGAGCTCTTGAGTATACCCATGGAAAATCAGGAGCTTGGCTGTATTCTTGGTGTGCACCAGTAGAATAGAACTTGAACCCTAGGGAGCAGGGGGAACTTACCAGTCCACTTCGTCCATGGGCAGACCCCGGCCACCTAGCCCACAGTAGCAGCCATAGCCCACAAAGGAGATGATGGCACTTCTCCCTGTGATGGTTTCCACCATCGACTTCAAGTTCAGTAGGCCTCCATGGACCATCTGCAGGACTGAAAAAAAGGCCAAGGGGTAAGGTATTGATTTATGTTACTTAATTGTTCTTCTTTATTATGAAGAAGAATTCTACTGGGGTATGAGGGTGGAGAGGAGTCATTGGGAAGTGACAGATTATGAAAATAAGAAAAGAGAATCAATAAAACAGCATTTACAGAGCTAAGAGAGACAGAGAGAGGAAGGGACAGACAAAGAAGACCAGGGTAAGGAGCAGCTACGTGGTGCAATGGATAGAGCACCAACCTTGGAGTCAGGAGGACCAAAGTTCAAATCCAGTCTCAGACACTTGACACTTACTAGTGACCCTGGGCAAGTCACTTAATCCCCATTGCCTCACAAAAAAAGAAGACCAGGGTACCCCAAGTGTCATCTAGCAGCATCACTGGAGTACAGCATTCTGACAGCCAGTGAGCTGGTTGTCTTCCTCCCCTCCCCCACTGGGTACCATCACTAGAGTTCTGAGTTCTCTCTTGGGCACATAAGCCAATCTGGATGTCCTGTTCTTTTCCTCTTTTCCTACCAATAGGTCACCTGCCCAGCTGCCCACAAAGGCCAGGTTTCCCGAGGGCAACAGCAATGGTTTTACTAGAGGTCTGAAGGCAGAAAAGAAACCAGAGACAGTGGAAAGAGCACAGGATCTGAAGTGAGATGTCATAGGTTCAAATCCCACTTCAGACACTAAGCTTTCATTTCTACCTCTACAAAATGAGGGGGTTGGATTGGATGGCCTCTAAGGTCTTGTCAAACTCTAGATCATCCAATCATAGATCTAGAGCTCACCTCACATCAACAGATTTAATTGGCTACCAGATCTTGTTGGACCCAACTCCTCATTTCTCGCATCTGTCCCCTCCTCTCAACTCACATAGCCACTACCTTTGGTCAAGGGAAGATAACTTCTGGGTTATTGCAATAGCCCGCTGATTGGTCTTTCTCTCTAATCCCTCCTCTGTACTCTCCTACTCAATAATCTTCCTTCCTCTCCTACACCTAATTCTCTGGACTTCTTTCTCTGTCATACTCATCCTGGAAAATCCCTCCACCTCTTCAGCCCCTTCCTTGGATTGGTCATTTCCTCCTGAAACTTCCGTTTTAAGGAAGGACCCACTGCCCAGTCACCTTCACCCCTTCATTTCTCTCTGGATCCCACTCCTGACACTCTGAGCTTCTTTCTCTACTATGTGTGGGTAATTCTCCCCTCCCCCCACTCTGAGTTTCCTATTTTATGTTCTCTTCTGCCATTAGAACGGAAGTTCCTTGAGGGCAGGAATGGTCTTTCTTTTTGCTTCTATTTGCGTCTCCAGCGATGAGCACAGTGCCTGGCACATAATCAGTGGTTAAATAATGTTTGTTGACATGCTTTGACTCTAGTAGATTTCTGCTGACAAAAGGATCAAAATACTGGCGCAACGGATAGAACATTGGGCCTGGAGTCAGGAGGACCTGAGTTCAAATCTAGCTCCATACGCTTGACCCTTAGCGAGTCACATAGACTCTGTCAACCTCAGATTCCCCATCTGTAAAATGGGGATAATAAACCCTGTCTCCCAGGGTTGTTACGAGGGATCAAATAAGATAATAATCGTAAGGTGCCTGGCACATCGTGCTACATAAATGTCAGTTATCATTATTATTATATTATTTCATCTTTACCTTAACCTTTTAAAATTTCTATTTTGGGATTTATACTATTCATAATTATTAATACAATTGTATGATTATATAATTCGTAAATAAGTAAATATACCATAATAGAGATGCGTGTTCAAAATTTTTTTAACTACTGGGCATTAGCAACCAAAAATTCAGAGGCTCACTTCTCTAAACTGCATTCTCCAGCACAGAAGTAGAATGACCTTGGTCTGGCCTACAAGTTATTTGGAAATCCCATAGTTAGCACGCCTCCATTGAGAAGCCAAAGTTAATGCTTGTTGATTGATTGACTGACTGTTTCCTGAGAAGTACATGTTCTCTCTCATTTAGGACTGAGCTTCCCTCTCCAGCTACCTTGGAAGCTTCTATTCTAACCAGTTCCAATTTTCTTCTGAAAGGAAAGCTTTCCCATTTCTCTCTCTTCTTTCCATTCTCCCCAGGGCCCAACACCTAGGTTCTTGATGATGATGTTATTTTCTAAGCTCAAAACCACTTTATCACTCTTAGAAAAGATAAGGGGAAGGGTAGCCCATCAGGATCTGACTTTCTCTGCATTCCCTCCCCTTTCCAAAATCAACTCAGCAGATTTTTATTAAGTACCTATTATGTGCAAGGCTCAACACTAAAGGCTATGGAGAAGGGTCTCATAAAATACTGTCTTAGGTTTGCATTGGAATGGAACTATCCAGCAAGCTGGACCCATGTACCTTTCCTTCCCTACAGATTCTGCTACCCATGCCCTGAGATTGACTCCTTCCCTAAGAGAAAGCAAAGCTGACTGGGACAAAGTTTTGGCTCAGTTAATAAAGTATTCTTGCTTCTGGATTTATGAGTTCTTAACCTTTTATCTCCCTCAATATCTATTCCTGGTATAAACCATTTGCCCCACTGCACCCTACCCCCATCACCTGAGAAAGGCCTAAATCCTGGATTGGTCAATCAGGAGAAAGACATTTTGGCCCACTCTGAGCTTAATCTACCATAATGCTTTGCTTTGCTCTCTGAGTGAACCCAAAATGCCCATTTCTGTGCCAGCAACTCCAAGGCCAGATGAAGCTGACCAGGAATATTCTTCTGTTTATGACTACCAAGGACAAGGTGACTTGAACCAGACTCTATCTTGCATAATGGGACTTTTGTTATATTATGTCATGTTAATGGTGAAAGAAAAACAGACATCCTGGATCTATAATTTCAATCGACACCTTGATATTTTCTTATTTTATTGTATTTACAACCTATTCCATTAAGAAATTCCTTTCTCATATTGTGGTTAACACATACGGAGCCTATAATTTTGGTTGACACAGGCATCCTGACTTGGGATTGCTTTAAGTGTATAAAAGGTCTCCTTCAGCTTGTTTACTCTGAGTTCAGGATTATTTTCTGACTCCATCATGCATGATTCTCTGGCTTAATGAGAATAAATAAGCACGTTATAGCACATGTACAGCCTGATTCTGTTTGTTCCCTGTTCAAACCTTTGGTAAGGTGAACTCCATTCTGTTTGTACTTTGGACAAACCTTTGGTTAAGGGGGGAACTGATTCTGTTTGTTTCTTTGGACCAAAGCTTTGGTAAATGGTTGACACTGGGGATCTTTTAGTTCTTGACCATATTCACAGAATCACAAATTCTCAGTGTTGGAAAGAGCCTCACAGGCCAGATTGCCCAGTCTATACTTGAACAAACCCTTGAGGGACGCTGGTGACGCCATAGAGGAAGCAAAGGACTTGTAGTCAAAGTTGGTTTTAAATCCCAGCTTGGCCACATACTACCCATGTGACTATAGGCAAATCACTTCTCTGGGCCTCAGTTTCCTCATCTATAAAATGAGGGCAATAGACCTGATGAAGGTCTCTTCTATCTCTTGATCTGTGATTTCATGAATCATGCCTTTTGCCTTTCTTTGAATAGCCAGCACTTACCAGGCAGGCTAGGTGGCTCAGTGGATAGAGTTCTGGGCCTGGAGGAAGGAAGAGCTGAGTTCAAATCCAGTCTCAGACACTTACTAGCTTCATGAGCCTGGGCAAGTCACTTCATCCTGTTTGCCTCAGTTTTCTCATCTGTAAAATGAGCTGGAGAAGGAACTGGCAAACCACTCCAGTACCTCTGCCAACAAAACCCCAAATGGGGTCACGGAGAGTCAGATATGACTGAAAAACGACTAAGTAACAACAACAATAACAAACATAATTGGAATCACGTACTCTCAGGGCTGGAAGAAAACTTAGAACTCTCACCTTGTTCAACCTTCTCACTTAACAAAGGAAGGAACTGGGGCCTTGAGAGGTAAACAAAGGAACCAGGAGTCCAACCTAAAGGTCTATAGGATTTAGAGCTTGTACTTCTCCTCCTCAGTGATACATATGGGGAAACCAAGACCTTAAGAAATTAAGTACCTTTAAAATAATAAAATCAGGATTCAAACTCAAATCTTCTCAGCCAAGACTAATACTCACTTTTTTTCTTAAAAAAAAAAAATCTAGGGGCAGCTAGGTGGCATAGTGGATAGAGCACCAGTCCTGAAGTCAGGAGGACCTGAGTTCAAATCTAGCCTCAAACACATAACACTTACTAGCTGTGAAGTCACTTAACCCCAATTGCCTCGCCAAAATAAATAGGTAGATAGATAGATAGATAGATAGATAGATAATCTAATATGCCCCATCCCCATTCTACCTTCCTCCCAGGAACTGACACCTGCCTTATAACAAAGAAAAACAGTCAAGGAAAAACAATTAATATAATGACTGCCTCTGATGGTGTATATAAAGTTCTGCTAAGCAGGCCCCTATCTCTCAAAGGAAGAAAGAAAACGAAGTTTGCTTCCTTATCATTCTCTAACACCATTATTGGTTAAAAAAAAAATCAATGTTCATTGTAGTATGTTACATAGCTTCTCATCTCCTTCTGTCAATTCCCTTTCTGCTGAATTTAATATAGTGAACATCAGCTTAAATATGCCTAAGAGATTACACACTCAATCATGCTTGTGAACAGGGGACAATTTACACACACACCCACACACCCACACATTCATATGCATGTGTGTGCACGCATGCACGTCCACACAAGTATTCACTGCATCTCAGTAATGCAGGAAGCAGCATAGTATTAGTGGAAAGCATTTGCTCTGCAGTCAGAAGACTTGGGTTCAAATTCAGGCTCCATTACTCACTACTGTTGTTGTTGTTCAGTCATATCTGACTCTTTGTGACCCCATTTGGGGTTTTCTTGGCAGAGATACTGGAGTAGTTTGCCATTTCCTGCTCCTGCTCATTTTACGGATGAGGAAATTGAGGTCCAGAGAGGTTAAGTTAGTAAGTAGCAGAACCAGGATTTGAACCTGGGTCCTCTGACTTTGAGGGCAGTACTCTTTCCCAATGCACGGTACTACTCCTCCCCACCCAGTCCCAAGGCCCATGGCCAACTCCTCCAGTTAGGTACATCCACCCTACACAACCACCTGCTCCTCAGAGAGGACACTAAGTTCTGCTGTGGTGACTTTGGGCATGCCACTTACCTCCCTTTCCCTCTTCCTCAGAAGCTTCCCTTGTTCTACTTCCAACCCCTCCCCAAGCTCTGCTGGGGCCATTACTTGGTCTCCAGCAACTCCAGGGAGTGCACGGGGACAGGAGATGCACCATAAACATCGCCTTTTAATGAGGCTTGCTTAACTCTGGGGCCCTAGCAGGCTCAGGCTTCATAAATGTCAGGTGACGGGTTCCCGGTGTTTGTACGTGGGCAGCCTGGGGTTAAACAAGAAAGGAGGAAGCTGGCTGGGCACAGTACCCACGGATGACAAGAGGTCGCTTGAGGACAAACCAAAGAAGTCTAGGAGACCCCAGGGAATGAGCCCTTACTCACCGCTGCCTGCTAGAATAGTGATTGTGAACAACTTTCTGATGCCTGGGATGAACCTGTGAGACAGAGAAACCAACATCCCTCATCAGGTTCCCTTCTTGCCACACGCCCGGGCCTGCTACAACCTGTTGAGCCCTGGCTTCACGTTCCCATAAACACCTGTTAGATGATGTGGCTGCCCCAGCTCCCCTCCCCTCAGTCCCCACCGATGTCTGTTATTAACGTCTGGCAGCAGGAAGAAGGTGGCAAACACCCTGACTCTTTCACTGTCGCCCCACTTCAAGGCAGAAGGGATCTGTTACCACCTTGCTATTGAGGGGAGGGAGGCCCCAGCCAAGAATCTGTAAGAACTCAAAGGGTAATCTATCACAGCAACGGCTGGAGGAGGGTGGCCCATGGAGAGATGGAGAGGAGGCCAAAAATGAGGAGGAAAATTATAGCATTCAAAGTTGGAATGGACACGTAGGGGTGTTCCAGTCCAAGCCCTTCATGTTACAATGGAGGAAACTGAGGCCCAGATTAGTCTCTTTCCCTCAAGTGGCAAAGGACTTGGCCAAGGTCATATAACTATAAAGGAGCAGAGCCCCAGGATTCTGACTCTAAATCTGGGGACACTGAGTGTGGGGGCTTAATATGATAGGGGTCAAGAGACCAGTTCTTCTACGGCCTTGATCCTTGACCCTAACCTTTCAGGGGCTTGGTTTTCCCATCAATAAAATCAGACTGGTGAGAGCAGTATTAGATTAGACAATCTCTAAACATTTCTATGAGTCTAGAGAATTTCTAAGACCAGGATTTGGGAAACCAGATTCCCCTTCTCTGAAAAACACTAATATCTAGAAAAAGCCCACCCTACTTCCCTAAGGATACCCATAAGATTGGATCTTCTTCTCTCCTCTGAGGGCCTGGCACTTACCTGGTGGCCTTCCAGAAAGAGGTGGCCTGGGGGAAGAGTATCCCAGTCTGCTCCACTGGCATCTTCCAGGACAGGGGTCTAACCAGCCCCTTCTTCCTGAACTCTTTGGGGTTCACCTGAGCCCCATCTTCCATCTTCTGAGGTCTGGGGGGCCAACAACATAGGGTTTGCTCTGTCCACAAAGCACGGGAAAGGCTCCAGGGAACAGGCCCCAGCTTCACTCTCTGTCTCCCACGGGTGAGAGGCAGTCCTAGAATAATGACCAGTGCCCAAAGGAGTAGGGTGACACACACCCTGTTCCTCCTCCTCCTCTCAGGGAAGAAGAAGCACTACCCACACCTGGCTAGGGAATCCCCACCCATATCTGGTTAAGTGATGGTGCCCATCTGGCCGGCATACACTCCCCCACGTCTGGCACGGTCGGACCCTCGGCGGGGTAATAGGATCATGGCTCTATGGCCAGAAAGGATCCCAGAGGCCTTTGAGTCTGCCATATTCCCTAGGAAGTTCAGCAAGCATGGGGTGGGGGATGGGGTGGGAGAAGGGAGCAATGTTGTTTGCCCCTCTGGACAGTGGCTCTGAGACCCTGAACACTCTGGTCAGTGGCCAGACTTCTCAGGGATAGTTCTGGGCCTGAGTATTCTACCCTGGCATCTGGCAGCATCTAGGGGGAAAGACAACAAGTCTGGGAGTATAGAGTACTCATAGGGTTCTGGAGCTAGGAGGGGCCTTAGAAACCATCTGGTCCATTTTACAGAGGGAGAAACTGAGACTTGGAAAAAGGAAGTAACCTATAACTAGGTAATAGGACACAAGCTTAGTTTCTAGTCACTTCAATTAAGCATTGATTGGCCACCTACTATGTGCAAGGCCTTATTGCTAGGTATCTCCAGGATCAAATATAAAGTCATCTGTTTGGCATTTAAAGCTGTCTGTCCCCCATGATCTTTCCAGTTTTCATACATTTCCCTCCCCTCTAGGAATACTACATGTAGCTATGCTGGCCACTATAGTCCATCTTTCTTTCTTTGCACAGACTGATCCCCATTCCTAGAATGTTTTCTCTTCTCACCTCTGCCTCCTGGTTCCCCTAGGTAATTGCAGTGGACTGCATTAGGAACAAACAAGAAGCATTTCTTAAGCCCAGTCTAGACTAACCTAGTATTTTGATACTTGGATAAACCCAAAGATTCCAATGATTGGAGCAAGAACTATTCTACAAGCTGTTGGGAAGACTGGAAAGTAGTCTGACAGAAACTAGAGACAGCATCAAGATAAGCTCAAAATGGGTACGTGATACAGACAGAAAGGGTGATATCATAAGCGGATTGGTGGAGCATGGAAAAAGTTACCAGTCAGATCTATAGATAGTGGAGGAGTTATGACCAAACAAGAGACAGAGAGGTTTCCAGGAGGTAAAATTGATAGTTCTGATTACATAAAACTAAAAAGTTCTTGCACAAACCCTAACTATGTGTCAGTCATTATGCTAAAGGTTGGAGAAACAGAGGAGGAAAAAAAAAGCAAAAACCAGTCCCCGCCTTTAAAGAGTTTAGATTCTAATGTGGGAAAGAACATGTATGTAGATAGGTGCATATATGATCCATGTAGAGCAGGTAGGAAGGCTAGGGGTGGGGGTGGAACAGGTAAAGGCCTCCTGGAGAAGATAGGATTCATGCTGAGTCTTGAAGGGAACCAAGGAAACAGAGCCAGAGGTGAGGAAGGAGAGAAAGCATCCCAAGCCTTTTGGTGCCCCTGGCTTCCTTCAAGCCTTAGCTCTGATCCCACCTTTGGCAAGAGGCCTTCTGGGCTCTACCCAGCTATTTGTCCCTTCCCGTCTGTTCTTCCTATAGCTTTCACATACCTGATTATTCATATATTGTCTCTTTCCCATTAGAATGCAAATTATTTGAGGGCAGGGCTGGTGTTTTTGCCTTTATGGTATAAGCACAGTACTTGGCACACAGCAAGTGCTTAATAAATGCTTTTTGTTTGATTGGTTGATTGACTGGTGGAATACAGAAGTTCTTAACCTGGAATCTATGAACTTTTTTTTTAACGCTTTGATAATTCATTTGGTATAATGGGTTCTCTTTGTGAATCTCGTGTATTTTATTTCGTACATTTAAAAACATTCTTCTGAGAAGGGGTTCCTAGGCTTCACCAGACTGACTGGCAATGGAGGGGTCTGTAACTGACACACAGAAAGTGAAGAATCCCCAGTGAAGGTTGCTGTACCTTGGAGACATGTGGAATCCCACCTTTGACACTTACCAGCTGGGGGACCCAGGGCAAGCCACATGTTCTTTCTAAGCCCCAGTGTTCTGATGTGTAAAATAGTGATATCACCACCACTACTAACAGCATCACCAACGACAATACACTAATGACAACAATAATAATAATACTTGTAGCGCCTTCCTTGCAGGATCAAATGACATCCTTTGCTAACTAGAAACTACCATATAAATGTCAATTATGATTCAAAATGAATGAAATCTAGTTTCTGCCTTCAAATAGCTCAAATTCTAATGTGAGAGGAATAAGACATTTGCCCAGGGAGCTTGAGCGTAACTAACCTAGAATTTAGGCACTCCAATTACTTGGGCGGTCACAAATTGGGAGGAGACTGGAGACTGTACCATACAAAGATCAGTTGAAGGAATTGGGAATCTTTAGCCCAGAGAAGGAAAGATGAAGGGAATGGGGGTAGTTCTGACAGCTTTCTTCAAGTATTCAAAAGGTTGTCTCCTTCGAAGAAGGATCAGATTCATCCTCCTTGGTGCCAGAGGGCACAGTGAGGAGCAGTGAACCAAAGTTATAGAGGGCAGATTTAAGCTTGGATCTGAAAACGAAGAAAAACTGAGAGCTGTCCAGAAGTGTAATAAATTATTCTTGGAGGAGCGAGTCTCCGAACACTAGAGGTCTTCAATTAGTCAAGGATTTTGCAGTGGGGATTGCTGCTGAGGAATGACTTGGACTAGATACCATCCAAAGCCCTTCTTAATTCTGAGTTTCTGTGATCATCGCTACATGAGTATAATAAGAATCAGAGGGGAGCCAGTGTGATTGGAGAGACTGATCCAGCAGCGGCAGTCGAGAGCTGGTTAGGAGGAATGTTAGTGGACATCTAGCCCAATTGCTCAATTTGCAGGTGAGGATGCAGGGCCCAGAGAGGTAAAGTCACCTGTCCAAGATCGTGTGAACGTCTTAAGTCTTAGAGTCAGAATTTGAACCAGGGTCTTCTGACCTAAAATTCAGTGTTCTTCCCACTGCTCTGAGAATACGTAACTGGAAGATATATACCGATATAACTGAAGGTATGTAACTAGAAGGCTGGACATGTAGGAAGAGCGACCAGTGAACAGGTTATATGATCCCTGGATAGCCATGAAGCCTGTTCAACCTGTCATGAGGGCATGAAGAAGGACTCCACCAGTTGGGTGAACCCCACCCCCATAAAAAATTTGGCCTAGATCTGGAACGTGAAGGGAACTCAGAGGCTATCCATTAATCCTAGGGTCATAGATTTAAAACTGGAAGAAAACTTAGAGATGATTTTGTTCATCCCCTCTCATTTTATAAACGAGGAAACTGAGGCTCAGGGAGGTTGAATGACTTGGATAAGGTCACACAGAATAAATATCAGAGGTAAGATTTGAACCCAGATCATCTGACCCAGTGCTGGTATTCTTTCCATTGTACTGTAGTTGCACCCCTATGTCTCTTCCTACCTGTGGGACTTTGGACAAGTTGTTTCCCTTCCTTGGGGCTCCACTTTCTCATCTGTAAAATGAGGGGAGGGGGATTGAACTATTTGGCCTCTAAGTTTGCTTCTGGTTCTAAATCTGTGGTCCTATGAGACAGTTGGGTGGTGTAGTGGATAGAGCACAGGGCTTGGAGTCAAGAAGACCTCAGATACTAGGTGTGTGCCCCTGGGAAAGTCACTCATCCTCTATTTGCCTCAGTTTCCTGAGATGGGGATAATAGTAGCACTTACCTTCTGGGGTTGTTGTGAGGTTGAAATGAGATAACATTTATAAAGTGCTCAGCACATAGTAGGCACTTCATAAATGCTGGCTACCATGATTCTCCAGGAAGATGAGACAGCATTCCTAGGACCCGATCTGCACTGATGGAAGGAACTGAACCCATTGATGCTATCACAGGTACATTGAAATATCAAAAGAGATTTAAAAAAAAATCTCTCCAAGTCAGCAAATGAGGAAGAATTTGAAGGTCCTCCATCTATTTGTCACAACAGCCCTACCTTAGCCCCCTGGCTGGTCTGCTGGTCGGGTGGGAGAGGGGGAAGGAGGAGGGCTGGATCCCTGTGCCCTTTCAACAGCAAACAGGAAATGAGCAACCAGCAGCCAGGATTCTGGAACAAACAAGTAAGAATAAAGAAGCCTGGTGTTCCTGTCCCAGTTCTCTTGCCTCGCTGCTAAAGGGTAGGGGATTAGGATGGGGGAAGAGAGAAGTCCAATCTACCGTCATTAATCAGAGGCTTGATTAAGTGGGCCAGAGTCTAGCCAAATCAGGCTACTCCCAGGATCCCAGCCTCCCACAATCTCAGAGACAGAAGGAACCTCAGTGGCTATCTGGTCTAGCCTATACCCAAACAGGAATGCCTTTGAGCACTTCCCTGAATGCTGGTAAGAGGTTTTGCCATATGCAACTATCTCCAAGTGCATCCAGATGCACTTGGAGATAGAGAAGCCAGGTATCCATCAGAGGGCTGTGAGGTTTCCTGGAGAGGATGCTCCTACTTAAACACCTTGCTTCTCCTCCAGCTGTCGTGAATGTAAGGAAAAAATAAAAAAACCAAGTGCTCTGAGATCTCACCAACTCCTATGGGCTTCAATCATCATCTCTATGCAGAAGATTCTCAGATCTATTTAACCAACCCTAACCTCTCTTCTGAGCTCCAGTCTCATATCACCAACTGCCTTTTGACTCTGCGGTGCAGTGGGTGGAGTGTCAGGCCTGGAGTCTGGAAGAGATATTCCTGAGTTCAAATCCAGTCTCTGACCCTTACTAGTTGTATGACCCTGGGCAAGTCACTTAACTTCTGCCTCAGTTTCCTCATCTGTAAAATGGGGTAATAATAGCACCTACTTTCTGGGATTGCCATGAAGATCAAATGAGATAATATTTATATAGCACTTGGCATAGTGCCTGGCACATAGTAGGTGTTATCTTCAATGTTAGCAATCAGCTATTATTATCTCAAACTGGAAGTCCTGGAGGCACCTTAAACTAAACACATCCAAAACAGAATCCATTGTCTTTCC